CCAAGGAGTACTCCTTATTACGACCCCTTCATTTGGATCCCTAGATAGCCATCGACGAGAAGACCTTCACTGTTGCGATAGCGTCGCTGGGTCGCATTCTACTCCACTCCACAGCTCTAAGAATATTCTATTACTTTAAAAGTTATTTAAGTGTTCTGCATTTCTCCGTTGTTCTTAGAAAAGAAACTTTAACGACCGAGTTTGGTTTTTGGTTCAAGTCGCATTTTTTCCGATACTGATTATATTTTCGGTCCCTCTATATGAGGGAAACCTTTAAGTTCTTAGTTTTAGGTACATCAAATTGTTTTGTAAACTCTGTATTATGTCGGCAGTTATTACTGTGTTTCACTAGACCAGTGATGCCAGCGCCCTAAAACAGAAAAAGGACAGATGATCAAAAAAAAAAAAAATGACAAAAAAGGACAGATATTTTATTTTTAGGACAAAAAACATAACAAACATACTTTTCTTAGTTTTCTTTTATTTCAAATAAAATTTCGTCTATTTCGTTAATTATTTCAATTTCGCTTTCCTGTGCTTCATATGTTGCATTCGACCTGATAAGCTAAAGCAACTATCAGGTATCTTGTAATCTTGGCAACATAAAAGTTATCTTATGGTCGGTTGCTCGGTGGTAAAGCTGCTCCAGATGAGGTGCCACCGGTAGGGTGCTTACTGGGTAGTAGAGAGAGTCAAGGTAGATGGGAATTGGCGGCCGGGCTGCTGCTCCCAGGTGGCCGGTGATCGTGTGCCACCGGTAAGGTGCCTGATGATGTGTAAAATTAAGATTATGTCGAGAGGGTGACTGCCCCCTACACCCCTGGCCTTAAGCTTAGTGGGCGAATGCAAATAATATGACGGCGATAGCCGGAGTAAAGTTTATGGAGCTAAGTGCTCCTTATTCAAATAATTATAAAACAAAACTGGAGAACTTAGCTGTACGAAAAAGGGAGCTTTGTCGGCAGTCCGAGCGCACGACAGTGGAAAATGCTGACGATCGCAAAATGAGCATAACTCACCATACCGGGAACAAATGGGACCCAGGCACGGCCCCCAAAGGCGGGTATGCTGAGTCGGCGTCTAGAAAGACTAGGGTGATCCAAGAATCACCCAAGATTTTTATCGACTGTTTCTTACCCCTCAGTAGTGTTTTTTGGTATTTCCATCTGCACGAATCACGTCAATTTTTAGATTTAATGTACACTAGCAGTATTTGCAGTATGCCTTATTAGAATCCGTTGCATCTCGGCACATCCAATTCATCAGCGCCGTATCTTGCAACCACGATGCGCGAAATTTTTGTTTATATTGTTCCTTTAGCATGTTAAAACTTTTAGTCACAACACTCAATACGTTTAATGTCAATTACACAAAAACCTAAAACAGTGTTGCAATGCTTTCAAAAAGATTTATCGATAGATATTCGATATGAAAGCAATGCCACACAGTTTTAAATAAATTTAAAATTATGCCTATTATGAACATTAAAAATAAAAGGTTTAAAAAAGGATGAAAAAAGGACAAAAAGAAAAAAAGGATGTTTTGCCGGATAGAGGATGTTTCAAAATGTTTTACGACAATGCTGTTCAAAAAAGGACAGAATGTCCGAAAAAGGACAAATTGGCAACACTGCCCTAGACGGACCATTTTTATTCCCATTACTCGTAGAGTAAGAGGGTATATTAAGTTCGTTAAAAAGTATGTAACAGGTAGAAGGAAGCGTTTCCGTTTTCAGTATTAATAGCGAAGTCGATTAAGCTATGTCCGTCTGTCCGTATGAACGGTGAGATACAAAGTTGGGATTACGCATGAAGATTATTGTGGTCCCTACGCAGCGCAAGTTTATTAAAGCATCCTGCTACGCCGATTCTAACGACCACAATTCACGAAAAACTAAAATTGCTGAAATCTCAGGAACGAGTAGAGCTAGAAAGTTGAAATTAAGTATGTATAATCTTGAGCGCATCGTGTATATACCAATATCCGACCACAACCACTCGTCCGCCCACCAAGCTCGAAAAACGGTTTTCGCATTTTGTAGAAAAGCAGAAATCTCGGTAACTATAATTGATAGAAAGTATGGCTGAAGCATTTAGGTTTTAATGCGAAAGCGAACTGTTATTTTCCCATATAGTCACGCCAAACCTGATGCCCACAAAACACGGAAAACCAAAAATACAAAAATCTCGGGAACTATAAGAGTTAGAAAGTTGTGTTTAAGAATTTTAGAAATACCACTGCAACTCGACTCGACACGTTTTCATCCTGCCACGACCACAAACCGCAGAAAACTGTGGTGTCCATAATATTATAGTGTATGTTTTCGTTTGACCTTATATAACACATTTTTGTCAATATCTATCGATTTACCAACGATTTTTATTTATTTTATATCGCTATTTATGAAGAAATTTAAGTCAAACAGAATGTAAATTAGTATTAAACATACTTTAAAGGTAATAAGTGGAACTGCAAGTGACCAGTTCAAAGTTTAAAAAAATTGTTGTGAGTGTGTGAGTGTGATTATGAGTGTATGACTCATGTTAAAAAGGGTGCGATAAAAACTAAACAACAATTTAATGAAATATTTTGAGTATTTCTTTATTAAACGTGTACGTTATAAAATTGAAATTTGTTTATTTTTTAAAACAGTTTTTATTTTTATTGCAATTAAAATTTTTATTAAGATTTATTCCGAAATTCATTTAACTTTTTGTACTGACGAACGCATTTGCTTTGAAAAATTATGGCCCCAATGCGATATGCCATTTGGCGATATACACCTTAAGGGTAAGCGAAAAGGGTATTTCGGTCGTCAGAATCAGACGAGCAGCAAGCATTAGCCGATAAAATGTTCGAGAAAGAGTGGTTCGATCAAGACAAACACTACGCATTGATTTAAATCTTGTTGCATTCCATTATGACAGTAACACAGTCTTCATCCACGCGTTGACATTGCAAAAATGCATAAAATTTGCACGTATTGTAGCGTACTCAACTTTAAGAACGAAACGCCAGGGATGTGTTGCGCCAGTGGAAAAGTCAAACTTCTCGAATTACATTCACCACCTGAACCATTCTGATCATTGCTTTCAGGCGTAACACATGATTCAAAACATATTTTGATTTTTTTGACTGTACAATTCAATGGAAAAGATGTACTGTTGCCACGTATCCCAATGATTCCGACGGATATACCATTCGAATTCAAACGTTTGCAGTTCCCGGTGCGACTGTGATACTGTGATGAATCAGGGCGAAGTTGTCAACTATCAAAATGAATTCTCGATTTGCCAGGCCTGCCACCGCACTTTGTTACATTGAAAAATGGCGTACCCATCATCCTCCTTCGAAGTATACATCCACCTAGACTTTGCAACTTGGAACCAGGCTCATAGTCAAGAAAGTAATGAACAATGTTATCAAAACAACAATTTTGACAGGAAAATTCAAAAGGTGCAGACGGCGTATATACCATTAAAATTTGAATTCAAACGTTTGCAGTTCCTGGTGCAGCTTGCCTTTGCAATGATTATCAACAAAGCCCAAGGACAATCTTTGTAAGTTTATGGACTACTTTTGGAGAATCCATGCTTCTCACATGGGCAGCTCTATGTGGCCTGCTCGCCCGTCGGAAAATCTTCTGATTTGTTCGTTTACGCACCTGATGGAAGAACAAGAAACATTGTATATCCCAAAGCACTTCAATAAATGTTGAAGAGAAACCTAAACGAAAATTATTTTATTATTTTATTTTGTCAAGCTTAAGAAGCGGAGCGAAGCGAGGCGGGCGCGACAGTTATATACCGCCAACGTCTTGCGCGGCTTGTGAGCGGTAGAGTGGATGTTACCGAATTATAAAACGACCTTGTGATGCGATGCATTTACCCTCGAGTAACGGATATAAATATAATAGGTGTGGCTTGGAAGATACAAGCTTAATCCAATAATAATCCGAATAATAAATCAAGCTTGCCTTTTGATAAAAAAAAAGCTGTGAATAGTGCTTTTTTGGTATTATTACTGATTAAAAATTAATATAGTTTGAATACATACTTTCACTTACAATGATCCAGAGACACAAGTATATTTATAGAGACGCGGTCACTTCTAAAGTGGTCTTCGACAGTAATAAGACTAACGTATATTATATGGGTTGAAGAACAATTTAGCTAAAAAGTATACTCGTTTATTGTTTTTGAGCGTATTTTTATTTTTAATCGTTAAAAGATATGACAGTACTAGTTAATCCTTAGGTGGGCATATTCTATAGAATTTTGACTAACTTATTTCTATGAATAAAAAGTTTTGTGGTATGTGAATGTTGTGAAGAAAGTGGTTGTGGGTTTTTGTAGGTAGATATTTCGAACTGATTTATTTCCGTAAAGTACCAACTTAGGTAGCTAACAGTAATATCGCCTAGAATCTTATTTCTGAATATCCCAACGCAGGTACAAGCGGGGAATTTCCGCTGCCCGATATCATAATCTAAAAAACCATGTGGTGACCACTCGCAGGAGGTCCCATATCGCAGGTAAACTTAATGTCCGAGAAGCGGTTATCAACTTATAGATATGCATACACATGCTTAACAGTTCAGTACTGCAGCGGTTTGATGTTTACATAACATTCTTATATTATATATATATGTACGTGTTCATGTGTGAACAATGGTTTTAGAATAAATAGTAGTTGTAGATAATAGTAACAATTCCATTAATAGTGAGAAATGTCAAAGAATAATAATAATGCATTTAAAAGACATTTTAATGTATTTATTTATTTATTAAATATTTTTAGGGAGAGAAGGATGTATTTGATCTGGATACTAATTAAGTACACAAATTGTTACTTATTAAGAAGTAATCTGGAAAAAATGAAAAATAATTAGTCTCTAAATAAGTATATTTATATACCAGATTCAAAGAAGTCTTACTGTTTAAGTCTAAGATAGCTTTTAAATTTAACATCTAATTGTTTTGAATGAACTTATTTTTTAGGTAGAAATAACGGTTCTTCTCATCAAAAACTGGAAAATCATTTGGCCTTGTTAAAGGATGAATATACAAAACAGCTGTGCAGCTATGTGGAATTAGAGCGCAAGTATAATACAATTGTAGCAACATCAGGAAATAATGAATTCTCGGAAGGACTCAACAATTTTTTATTACAACTGTCTTTGACGGTTGCGTCGTTCTATGCTAATCATACTTATGCTGATATTTACATCCGGACGCTGGAAAAAGTATATCCGGCACATAAAATCGTTCTGCATGCCCGGTCTGAAAAATGGCGAGATATTTTGTTGGGCAATGTACGAGAGCTAGACTGGAGTGACTTAAATGACGATGTTGTGACGGCTTTGTTAAATTGGATTTACACTGATCATATTGATTTGCAGCATGACTGGCTAATTATAGATCTTTTAAGGACTGCACATCGATTTGGCTTACTATCCCTTTTATTGCTGTGTGAACGGGCATTAATTCCTAAAGTGGGAGTAAGATCCTGTATACGATATTATTGTGTTGCCGAAGAAGTAGGCGCATCAACACTTCAAGAATTCTGTTCCAGCATAATATCAACAAATTGGGAGGACCTGACATCTCAAGACTTTGAACACATGTCTGGACCTCTTATGCTTAAAATACTTGGAACTAAAACAAAATACCCATTCCATGCTGCTGTGAGACTCCTTAGGGATGACGTTGTACGCCTGTACATTGAAGAAAATTATGATGCAGTAAGTAAACTTCCATGTTTTAAAAATGTAACGATGCTCAGGGTGTGTTTAACTTCATAAACGAGAAAAATTCGTGAATATTGAAAACTTGGAAAATTTATCTGCAAGCAATATGGCACTACTATTAGATTAAAGTTGGCAGCTCTAATCAGCTGTGCTATTAGGTGATGGCAGCACTGCATTTTTAAAGTTGGCAGCTCTAGCTCTTAACAACTGATGGAGTATGTGGCAACGATCTAGAAATTAAACTTGTAGCCGTTTTTTAAACTGTTAAATTTGAAATTTTGTTTGTTTTTTTGAATGTTTTTTTTATCTGATTTACGTAAGAACTTATGTATGTATATTGTGAATTTTTTGTCATCTATTCACACCAAACGTGTATAACGAGGCATTGATTTTAAATGATGACATATGTTTGGCAATCGGTAACAAGACACTGGTACAACTGGGATTGCCTACTCCAAGCCGACTAACAAATGACTCTCTCAATTGTGAATTGCAACGAGAAACAAACTTTGATTCTGTCGAACTCAGGACATCAGTTCAAAGAATTCCGCAGTCTGTTGGAATTCCGCAGTTGGTTCCAGGACAACACACGGCGTATGACAGAATATTGCGTGCAATCACAGAACAAAGACTGTTTTTCATAAATGCACCCGGTGGTACTGGCAAGACTTCTCTTATATCGCTCATTTTGGGAACCATACGATCAGAACACAAGAAAAAAAGGTACAGTCGAGTGCCGCGACCATAAGATACCCGTTACTGTTTCTCACAATTTTAAAACATTCATTTTGCTAGTGGTAATGGACAAATCGCCACCTTTTGTCAAAAAAACATGTTGAGATATTGATAGTGACGATAGTGACTATCCATGTGAGGATATAAAATAAATTTCTTCATGAAATAGCGAAATAATGTTCCGATTTGAAAAGTCTTTAGCAAATAGATAGATATTGTCAAAAAAGTGTTACACAAGGTCAGCCGAAGACATTCATTATAATATTATGGACGCCACAGCTTTCTGAGGCTTACGGGCGTTAGAGTAAGCGTCGCAAAATCAAATAAACTTGCGCTGCTTTATCTCAACTTTGTGTCTCTGTGAGATCTCAGCATTCATACGGACGGACGGACAGACGAACATGACTTAATCGACTCGGCTATTGATTCTGATCAAGAATATATCAACATAATTTTCAACGAATCTAATGTATGCCTTTTACTCTACGAGTAACGGATGTAATGAAATTGCACTGGCCATGGGGCATCATCTGGTATTGCGGCAACTCTTTTAAATGGTGGACGAAAAGCGCATTCAGCATTGAAGCTACCAATCAATTTACAAAACACTGAGGCTCCAATCACTTAGCAACATCAACAAAAACCAGATTTTTGTTGGAACACTCATTCAGTCTGGTGATTTTCGACAAACACTGCCGGTTATATCACCTGCTGATAAAATTAATGCATGTCTTAAATCATCCATTTTATGGTGTCATTTACAAAATAGAACTTTGAAAACCAACATGAGTATACAACTACAAAATGTTGCAACGGCTAAAATATTTGCATAACAATTAATGGATATTGGAAATAGGCATCCCAATGATTCGACGGATATGCCATTCGAATTCAAACATTTCAGTTCCCGTCAGTCAGTTTTTCAGCAGTTTTCGTCAGCGCTGACGTGTACCGCCATTAAGCGCCCGATCCTCTACGACGATGAGCGCTTCCGCGTTGACGTTTGGGACCTTCTGGTTCCACTTTGGCTGCGTCTGTAAGATGGAGGCTGCCGACCAGGATTAGGACTTCGCCGTCGCTGGGGTCGCTGCTTAGCCCTCCGATAGACCTCCAGTTTAGCATCGCCTCCACGCTGGCAATGAGCACCACACCTTAGCCGGATTCCCTCGGCGACTCACGAACCTTTGAAAAGCTAATAAAAAACCATCAGTGGTGAGGTCATACACTAATTAAGTGGACCGCTTTAGACGCAAAACACATAGCTTACCACGGACGCGTTAGGTTGTGCTACATGCTCCACAAAAATCAAAGCCACAGATATTAAAATGGCGGAGAGCTCCAAGTCTGTCTGATGGTAAGTTCCATATTATCTGGGTAAGAGTTCGCTTCGTAAGCAACGCATTGTATCAGGATCTTTTTATTGTGTTCTCTTTCAACTTTCAATACGAACTAACTTGCTGCTCCCTGGCCTTATGTTTCAACCCCCGTTTATGTTCGGCTTATGAGCACATCCTCTCTCGAGAGATCAGAAGTGTGACCAGCGCTTACAATATAATATAATAATCTAAGTTAGTATACATAATTAATACCCAGCCTGTTACAGCATGCACAAATGAACATTTAGCGACATACTTCTTGAGCATTATGTAACTATACTTTTTCTCGCAGAAGACTTACAAGGGCTCGAGGACCAGCGTGGCAGTTCGAAATATTCAGGTATGACACGTAACATTTAACGCACTGCGAGTCTATCGATGGCAAATCGGAAATTCGGCTTCGTACGGGAAAGGAGCAATACCCGACCACCAACTTGCAGCAATGTCGAAGAGCACAAATGTCCTCACTGAATTCGTAATATTTGATAACAATCTGCTCGAACGCACGCTTTTTTGGAAAGGATAAGAAAGCCACAGAATAGAAGACATAAAACCATCTTCGCCTTTGTGACCAAAGGACCCAATAGGCCCAGTGAATCGAAGTCGCTCAAGAAGATTCAAGAAAGAGTCATCCAATCGAAATTAGAAGTAATCCCTATTACGCAACAAATCCAGAACACGGGAATAAGTTACCTGCTTTGGGGGTTCTTAACACCTCCTCCTCGCTCCTGTCAAAAAATCATCAGCATAGGAATCGTTTTGATTGAACTTTGCGATATTAGGAAAATTTGCTTGCGCCACCTTTCCCAGCTGCGGTAAACACCGAATTGTGTTTCACTTATTCAAAGAAGATTTTCACCTTCAGAGACTCAGAAGGATCTCGCCTGCACAATATGAGCAGAATAAATATCGAATGCCACTTTCAACTTGGTTAAGGTGCTTTGAGGTTGCAGCCCGCATTTGAGCAGAATGAAATATTGTAAACCATCTTGAATATTATTATCAGTGAAAGCAGTACAAATTCCTCAATGAAATTCAGATACAGATTACAAGTGAGAAAAATATGCGAGTATTTGGGTCAGAAGAAGGAAGAAGCGTTTCCGACCTTATATATTCTTAATGACGATCAATGGCCGACTGACGCAGCTCAGGTTTATGTCGGCATCTTTTCACGCCCGCTATATCGCAGACAAATTAAAATCGCTGTAATCTTGGAAATAGCACTCATATTCTTGAAATGCTAGCGCAGCTCATTCTGCTTTATCGTCCGAGTCTTTGTATGGACAGTGCTACTTTCAGTTATTAATCATACATTTTGTGGTTCCCGAAATTGGTGGTGCTAGTAAAGTTGTCAATTTCTGTTAGAACATTTTTTATTATCGTTTCTTATTTTTCATTAGAAGTATTGATATCGCTTTGATTTATAAGTATTCTCGTATGTAGTTTATTAGTTTTTTTAGAGCTATAGAACTTTAAGTTAGCATTAACTTTAACTTTAAATTTAAAGTTAAAGTTTTATTTTTAAATTTAAAGTTAAAGTTTTATACCTCTAAAAAACACCCTTTATAACTATAATTTACTTACATTTCTTTATTATTAAAAACAACATTTTCAGCATAATAGTTATATAAAAAGGTTTAACAATAGATACTTTGAGAGCGTCGAGATTCGTATGTGGTTTTATATGGTGACTGTTCATTCTGGATTTCAACCCTAGTACATGAAATTTAATAGTAATAAACTGCTAAATAGGTTAAATTATGATTATTATTTAATTTGTAATAATACATTTTTATTAAACATTTCTGGAATACTGACCGAATATGATTAAACGAGGAATCGTAAATAGCCTGCACATTTACGATTGCTCGATTAGTCCTATTCACCAAACTCGATTGTTGTTTTTTCGTTATTGTCTTCTGTATCGTTGCATACCTAAAATATGTGACGCTCCAAAAATTAAGTCGCACATTTGTATACTCCTTGTTCCGTATCGCGGTGATACCGTACTATCCAAATGATACGATGGTCGGATGACTCATAAAATTATCGATTCGATTTTTATTATCAACTTGATCGGGTGACTTGAGTACTAAGTCCACGTAATGCTCGATAGCCTTAAAAATTACCTTAGTAGAGGAACGCCCTAGGAGTTGGGAGCCAGTTTTTTGACATTCTTGCTTTTCATACCATCCTCTTTCCACTACCAAACTCCATGATCAATCCCCCTTCTCATTCACCTACACAAAATACACTTTTTTACGTAACACAATTACTTTACTGAAACACTAAAAATCACGCCACGTTTGCTTTTGCTGGAGAATGGAAATGTGTGTGTAAATTTTTGTCATACCCATACGCAAGCAAGCTATAAATATTTATATTTATATTGATATTTATATTTTAAATAGGACCAGACATTCTGTTAAAATTTTGCTACAACTCTCTATTCTACATTTAAAGAAAACCAATTGTTTTTATAACTGAAAAAATATATTTTTTATTTATTTTAGTTTCCACAACTTGCTAATTCATTTTCTGAAAACGGTCAATTACCTCTTCAAATGGCTTTATCTGCCAAAAATGTTAAAATTGCTCAGACTCTGGTGAAAATTGGATTGGCTAACGTAAATGCCGTTGATATGGAGGTATGCATAAATCATAAAAACCAGTTTACTTAATATTATTTTTTTTAAGGGGTCTACGTTGTTGATTGCTGCTTTGAAAAATGGTGACACCTTTTCGGCTTGCTTTCTTTTGGAACAAAACTGTCTTTTAGACATCTCATCTAAGTAATTACTGTGTAAATATATTCTTCTAAAAGTATTTAGTTTTATTTTTACAATTTTAGACCATCATCTGATACTGCACTACACATTATTTGTAATTACGAGGAAGATAAGTACAGTAAAAATATCTCAGAAATCTTAAACGTCGTAAATAAGATTTTACTAGGAAATCCAAACGTAAACACCAAAAACATTGAAGGAAAAACTCCTTTACATCTAGCGATTGCCCGACGAAATACAGAAATGGTTAAGCTCTTGCTTAAAGTTCCAAATATTGATATAAATTTGCGGACTTTAGATGAAAAGTGTGCTTTGGAACTCAGTTTGTATATGGGAGATAAAGATTTTACGTTAGCCTTATCGCTTCTACAAATGGGGGCACAGCCAAATCCTATAAAGTCAAAAACTGGAGATAGCCTACTACAAGCGTTTGCAATGAACGGACATCAGGGGGAGCTTCCAGCCATTTTTCTTGCAGACTTTGCCAATCTTGATCATACTAATTTTGGGGGGCTAACAGCATTACATATTGCAGCTTTTAAAAACCTGCCAAGTCTAGTAAAGAAGTTGATCAATAATGGTGCATTGTGCAATTTACAACATATTGATAGCGGTCTAAAATCACCTTTGCATATGGCAGTGGAAGCTAATTCCATTGAAGCATTAGAATCTTTCGTTCAGTTAGAAAACAAATTAAATGATGTAGTTGATTTTAATTCCAAAGATATTAATGATGACTCTCCGTTAAGTTTATGCTTATCCCTTAATAGAACTCAACTGGTACTAATTCTAATCCGAGGGGGCTCAGATATAAATGCGAAGAACAAATCCAATTTTACACTATTGCATCAATCAATAAAGAATGCAGATAGTGATACATCGATACTTCTAATAAATCAAGGCGCAGATTTTACAGCTGTTACAGGTAAAATAATTTCATCAACCCTATTTGCGCTCTAATAATATAACACCATCATTAGATGATCAGAATTCATCGTTGGATTTATCGATTAAATATAATCTACCTAGAGTCGTTGATGTGCTTTGTGGAAAAGGAATTGCATTGAATTCTAATAAAAAGGGAGTTTCACCATTATGGGCTGCTTTGGATCTAGGGCACCATGGCGTGGCACAAATACTTGTGCGCCACGGTGTTGACACTAATTGTTGGCACAAAGGACCCGGGGGATGTCGACAAACTCTTTTACATCGTGCCATTGATGAAAGCAAAGAATCGATTGCTATTTTTCTTATTCAAAGTCAATGCGACTTAGACTCTGCTCGTCAGTCAAGCCCCAACAAAGAATGTGGATATGTACAGGACAAGGCATCACCTTTACATTTATGTTGTCATTGGGGCTCAACCAAAGTTCTGCAGACTCTAATTGATCATGGTGCTAATGTAAACGTTATTAATGCTGAATACCAGTCCCCACTTCATGTAGCTATAGAAAACCAGCATGAAGAGCTAATTTCTATTCTTCTTTGTCACCCTGTTATAGACCTGAAACTACGTGATAGGTCCGGAAATACACCTTTTGCAGCAGCTTTGGGCATCCGAGATCACAAGGCAGCCCAAAGCATTTTAGACAGATTTCCTACAGCAGCTGAGCAAATGGACCAGAGAGGGCGAAACTTTTTACATATAGCAATTTTAAAAGGTGATTTAGAAAGTGTTTTATTTTTGTTGGCTATTCAAGTAGATGTAAACTCTCGAGTACAAGACGTCAATCAGTCTATGCCCCTACACCTGGCAGCTGCATCACATAATGAAATGATTACGAGAAATTTGATTTTAGCTGGTGCCCGTATAAATGAATGGGATGCTCTTCGAAAATTGCCTTTGCATATCGCCATTGAATGCGGAAATATTTCTGCAGTCTCAGCGCTAATACAAAATAGTGCCGACTATGATGCACCAGATGCTGACGGTAACAATTCGTTGCACATTGCTGTAAAATGCGGTCAATATTTTATTGTACGTGAACTATTAACAGAATCAAGAGTAAACGCAGAAGCCACAAACTTAAAAGGTCGAAATCCTCTACATGAATTATGTCGCGTTCTTGAAGATAATACAGCTGCACTTATTTGCGAATTATTTCTTGAGTGTATGCCAAAGTATCCTATAAACATTTCTGATATGGATGGTAACACTCCGCTACTGCTTTCCTTTATGAGAGGACAATCGCCGCTTTGCAAAATACTTGTAAAGGCAGGAGCGTGCCTTGGTTCTGAAAATAAAGAAGGAGTAAATATTTTTAATTTCAAGTTGGCAACGGATCAGTTATTGCATAAATTATTGGACCAATTGTCACAAGAATCGCCTTGGTCAGAGAGTGACCTTTGCCAGGAGTGTAGAACTAGATTTACAATTACGATGAGGAAACATCATTGGTAAGAAAAGAAGCACTGCAAACTATTAAAATTGTAAATATTTATTTTTGTTTTACACTTTAAGTCGGCATTGTGGACGGGTTCTTTGCTCTAAATGTTCAAGTAACGATGTGCCCATTTTAAAATTCGGCATCAACAAACCTGTCAGAGTATGTACCGTTTGCTTTAATGTGCTGCAATGCGGAAATGGATCACATTTTTAAATTGTTTAATACAAAGTAATATAAATAAATAATCTAGTGAACAAACCATTTGTGGTATATATATATATATGTCGTATCATCATTTATTTTAAATAATTTGCCATCGTTATCGCCCGAAGTGACACCACTACGGTTAATTTGTTTAAGAAAGAGAATAACATGTGGATATAATATAATGCGTAGTCTGGCAATCATTCATTATATTCTATCCTGCATTGTTTTCTGTGTGTGATATCGGGCGCCCAGCAGAGTTCTCTGATCTTCTGCGTAGCCTTGGTCGCGACAATGCGTTAGAGCGAGATGGTTAAAGCGTATAACCGAGGAGACGCGAGCAGAGACGATATGTGAGTATCGATAGCTCGCAGAGAAATTGAGGAGTCGAGGTTTAAAAGCTGAAGTGAGCAAGTCGTGTTAAAAACAAAAGGATGTCGCAGCCAAGGAAGCGCAAGCCCCGTGATATTGATATGGAATCAATCGATGAGAATACTCAAATTCCGACATATATATGTAAGTTATGGCCAGACATGACCA